CCAGGGATTAGAATCTCAGTATCCTCTCTCTCATCTCCCCAAGAAAACACTTGTATCTTTTGTCCAGATTAGGCTGAGAAATTTCAAGACTATCGCCTTGCTACCTTTGGCCAGATCTAGGAAGACAAAGATAGGAAGTTAACATTTCATTCCCATCAGTCAGTCACACCCAGCAAGGCAGCTTTTATGAGACTGTGGTTTCTAGATCTTTAGCATCACCTGATGTTAAAGTCTGACAGTCATAGTAATATGAAATAATAAATTAAAGGAAGATGTAAACTTTGACAATCCATGAAGAATAGGGTGGGGCCAAGAGGGTACCCTCAGGTGTTCCTCCAGGTGGTCCTCCAGTTAGTGACCCACAGTTCTAAAAATAAAGCAGTGATTCTAGGTGTGTTGGAGAACAGCAGGGTAGTTCAGCTTCTCTAACAAGGTCATTACACGGACCACTGTCATCAACAGTACTTTTCATGGCTCAGAACTCCTCAAGCCCAGGACCTCAGACTGAGAGGCTGAACAAACTCCCTGAGTTTCGCCTACTGGGAGATTTTTGAACCCAGGAGAAGAAAGTTAGAAAGATGAGTTACCTAATAACTACTTTAAAAACAGGCCCAAATTGGGAGAGTATGCTTGTAAAACCTTTAAAGACAAAATCATTAAAACAATCACTGGATAGATTACTGGAAACTATGAATTTTTTTTTCACTGTTTTTGTCACTGGGTTGAGAATCTTCCTTTGGTCCATCCCAGACTTTCTGGATCTTTCCAGACCATATTTTCAGCATATCTCTGCCAGCATCACTCCTGCCCCCTGGCTGGGGCTGAAGACTCCCCACTACTCTCTGGGGTCCTCACTGTGCTCACATTTCTCTTCATTTCCTTTTCTTTTTTCTATTTCTACTATTCAGTTTTAACAAGTATTTGCTCTATTTAGTGCAGAGCAGGTATTGATAAGAAGAGGTTAATAGTATCTCCTGAAACATATGTAATATTCAAATAAAAGTTACTTCAATTGAAAAATTTATTAATATATCATTATATAAAATACAACTTGATATACTATCTCTACCTTAAGAGGACTCATGGTCCAGCCAGGAATACAGGTACCTGGGAGGGCAATAATTACACAAGAAATGCTGGATTGTAGACAGTTATTTGTGTTCTAAGGGAGCTCACAGAGAGCAAGTTACTCTGTCAGAAGCAGAGAAGGCTCTGGAGAACATTTGGGAGTTGCCTCAGCTGACATATTTTGTTCTTTTTAACTCAAATTTGGTGTGTTTTTCTTTTTCCCAAAGGAACTCCTGATTTATTCACTTCATCTGTGTTAAAATAAATGAATACACACAGATTGTAAGGTTTGTAAATATGGACACGAGACCTTAAAAATCTTTGCAGCCAGTCTGTTTTGTAGCTGTTCTCCCATCTAAGCTTGGGAAAGCTGTGAAGAACAAGTGGAGAGAATTTCAATGGCTGCAAGTAAAACTTTCTGGCCAGTTTTATAGGCTCAATTAAGTAAGAAAGATACAGTTGCTGTAAAGTGTTCATATTTCCAAAAGAAAACGCAACAATACCTGTTATCTGCTGGTATTTCATTTTCTGCAAAACTTGTTAAGGCTGTCACAATCCTCTACCAACAGGCTGGGTTTTTTATTTTGTTTTCTTTTATTAGCAGACAAAAATTATCTGCTGCTTTAACAGCAGAAAAAGATGATCTGCTCTTTTGTCCAGCAGGACAGCCTGGAAGTAGTTTTGGAAATGCAACACATCTAGGGTTTTCTAAAAATATCAGTACCTTCATTATTGTCCCTTTTTTAAAAAGTTTTGTGACATGTATCGCATATCCTCCTCCCCCCACCCCCCACACACTTCTTTTGAACTGTTTGTCTTAAGTGATAATAGTATTTGTCTATAAGAGGATTTGAGGACACATGAATAAGAAGATAGGTATACTGGTTTCCACTCTCGTCAGAGACATGGTATTATATATTTCTGGCAAAGGGGATTGATCTAGGGAGTAATGGTTGGATGAATCAATGTGAAAGATGTGTTTGCCCTATTATGAATGTGGTTTAGGAATCAACTTGAGGGAATGTGCTTGGCAGCTGTTTGGACAATGAAAAACACATCTGGTGAATTATGCAGTCGGAGGAAAGGGAAAACAAGATGTTGAGATCATTCTAACCATCTTTCAAATAGGGGTTTAAAATGGAATGTGAAATAGCCATACAATCACCAGAAGGTTATGTCCAGAACAGGGTATGGCTCCTGCTGGCCACAAGCCAATACCAGAATTTGTATCTCTGCTCCTTAGAAGCATCTGATAAAAATTAGGATATTGACAAACAATCTCAGATTAGTCATGGCTCTTCAATTGCAAAGAACAGAACCCAAATTCAAACTGTCCTAAGCAAAAAAAAAGAGAGAGAGAGAAAAATTTGTTGTTGGTTTATACCTTTTACGTCAAAGACTTACCTGACTTGAAGCAACATTGTACCCAGCTTCTCCAGTCAGGCTGTTGAGTGTCTGT